AAAAAAAAAAAAAAAAAAAAAAAAAAAAAAAAATCTTTCCCTTACAATGCAGAAGTATTCTAACTACAATGATACATAACATTCTAGCACATTTTAAAGAGTATTTAATTTAAAGAAGAAAATATTTTACTGGATTTTTTTTTATTTTATTATTATTATTATTTTTTTTTAAAAGGAGGTTACTCATGAAAAAATATATTCTCTGCACAAACACCTCTAAATATCTCTTATAGACAGGACAATGTTGCCTGTTGGGATTAATGGGCTTAGACTGTAATTGCTGTGTCAATTATACTTCATATACAAGGGAGACTTGTAAGGGTATATTTTCTTTTTATGACCTAGTGACATAAAAGTACAGAGAGGAGTGTGACTGTATAGAACAAAGGAGTACAAGATAATTTTTCCATTTAGCTTTAGTATGCTTACCTGAGTAGCAAGCTGTACATAGACTCTCAACAACTGCAATAGCAGGCTGGACATAAGTTATTTTAATTGAAATGTATGATAAATAAACCTTAGCTGAATAATATGGAAATAGATTCTTGGGAAAGAAAGTGAAGTTGAACACGTTACCTACAACACTTTACACACTGACAACTAGAAAAGCACTGTGGTGGACAAACATATCTGCATATAAAAGAACAGACAGAAGCCTGCTTATTAGTAATTCACAGTGTGTGTGTGTGTGTGTATTTATAACAATTGGCCTGTAACTGTAGTCTTGACCTGCCTGCAAATTAGGGAATAACCTGCTGGTTTGTGGAAAGCTTATTTAGCCAGTCAGCCAGAACGTAGCTAACATGTTAAAAGTTAGCAGAGCAGCTCACATGGCGTGGGTCACAGTGGGAGCCCAGAGATTGTTGGATTGCACTACGCAGCAGGCATTGGTACTCCCATTACCAGCTGGATAAGTACCTGCAGCAAATCAGTAATCTCAACCCAGCCAGATATCTGGAGGCCAGTTTCTATCATTCAGGTAGCACCTGGTATGAATTCTGCTTGTGAGTTAACAAGCGCTTGTCAGAATTTCAGTCACTGGTGCCACTTTGAATTGTAAGATTTTAAGTTCCTCTTCGAGGATTTTAAGTTCCTTTGAACTGCTAGTGGGAGATGTGATCTCTTTGACAAGGCAAGTTAGAAGTGTCTGTGTCAAGCTGGTTAGGAATGAGATATGACTTAATGAGTTTCATTAGTTTATATAATGCTGAGCAGAAGTAAAAGTATACAACTTTCTACTGTAATGACATCACTGTAGTCTGCACTTGTGTTTGAAGATGCTTGTTCTAGACCATTTTTGCCCTAAAAATGGTGTTTTCTAATACAACTCAACAGCATTTGTTCAGAATATAGAGAATACTTAGAATAAATGATAATAATAAAAACCAACAAGTACTGAGATACTTTTTAAAAAATTTTAGGCCCCCTTTACAGAGGTGACATTTTACAAAGAGTGGATTAATGACAGCAAGAGTTACTTTAAATACTTTTAACTAGAAACTACTTCTATTCCTTGACATCCTTTTCAACCCTGCTCATGTAAAATAGTAAGAATCAACAGGTGAAACCAACAATGACAAACAGAGGTTACAGCATGCTGCAATCGAACCTAAACACATTTGGATGATGCTCTAGCTAGAACAGACTTATACTTTGCATATCACAGAATCAGAGCATGGTTGGATTTGAAAGCAACTTCTGCAAGTTTTCTTGCAAATGGCCCTTGCTCAAACAGTGTCACCTGGAGTAGGTTGCCCAGGACAACAGTTTTTGTTCATCTCCAAGGAAGGACTCTACAACCTGTTTTGCTACTTTGTCACCCAAAACAATAAAATGTTTCCATATGCTCAGAAAGAATCATTTGTATTTCAGTTTATGCCCATTTCCTCTTGTCCTCATACTGGGCACCACTGAAAAGAACCTATCACAGAATCATGTTTATCTCTGCCATCTTTTCATCCTCCCTTCAAATATTTGTACGCCTGAAATCAGCATCAACCAATCCACCCACATCTCCCCATACTTTGTCTTGGGATTGTTTTGTCTGAGTCCTTTCCTTATGCTCCAATATCTTGATCATCTTAGTAAAACTAGCTTGACTCTCCAGAACATTCATGACCTGCATGTTCCCGGGAGCCCAGAACTATACACTGTATTCCACACTTGGCCTCACCAGTGCTGAGAAGAGGGGAAGATATCGCCTCCCTTGACCTACTGGCAACACTCCTCCTAACACCCAGGATTCTGTTAGCTGCCTTTGCAGCAAGGGCTCATTGTCAATCCATGTTCAATTTGAGACCACCAGGATCCCCATACCCACCCTACAAAGCTGTCTCTGAGACTGTTAGCCCCAAGCACAGATTGGTGTATGTATGTGATGAATGTGTCTCTCCATTCCAAAACATGACTTCTCTGTACTTTGAGAACGTGCTCTTTATGATGTATCAAGCTTTCAGTTTGGAGATGTCATCTCTCCTTAAAATAGGAAAAATTATTTCCAACCTGTAGTTTACTCACATATTACTGAAGGAATAGGAAGCATATTGCTGTGATTTCTTTATGTATGAGTTGTCATCAGAAAAACGAATAACTATGTTCTTCTGCCTCTCTTCCTCAGAAGTATCAAAACAAAAAATGTCTACCCTAATCTGTCTGGTCTGTTTCCTCTGTTCATAATTCATGTTGCTAATAGACTTTTTGAACCTGAGAGTCCACTGTCAACACCAAGAAGTTTGGATCACGAATAAAAAGAACTTTGCTTGAAAAACAGTTGAAACACCTCAATCTTTGTTTAAGATGATTTGGAAGAATGTCAAATTACAGATGTAATGATTGAAACAACACATGCATTTAACAAATTTTCAACCTGAAAAACTTAAAGTATTGAAACACGCTACGTATTTTTGGAAACTATCTTAAGAACAAAGCCATTTTTATACTTTTGCTCTCTTTCAAAGTAGCGTTAAGTTGGTATTATAATCCCTCCAAAAGCAGTAATTTTTTTTTCATTATTTTTAATTTCCATGCAGAAAGAACGGGAGAAGGGATCTAATTTAGCATTTATGTTTCGACTGCCCTTCGCCGCTGGCAGGGTTTTCAGCATCAGTATGTTGGACACACTGCTGTACCAGGTACTGTGAATAACAACCACGTGCCTTCATTTCACATAGTCATGCCATGTTACCACCCATTTTTTCTACTTAATTGTTGGATTACCCTGTTTTCCTACATTAACCCATTAATGTAGGTGTTACGCCAGGAGCAATCAAAGGTAAAAGACCATAGAGCACATTCTATCTGACAGCACTACTTGCAGTTACCAACCCAAAACTGTCCATGAATATTCTGTTTTAAATATTGTAACACTGTGAAGTTCTCCACAGAAAAAACGGATAGTTTTGATACAGACTGTATAGAATACAGATTATAGAGACTGTTAACACTGGAAAAAAACAAATACTCATTGCCAATTTCAACAAAACAGTGCCTCTAATCACAAAAATCAATAGAAATATTTGTATGAATAGTTATCAGCAACCTTCACTTGCTGATAGAAGCTTTTATTACATTACCCTATCTTTTCCTCTTACTCTTGTTAACTAGACCTCCAGATGAGCAGCCATCACACTTTAAAGCCAAAGAGCCAGTTGCAAGTTATGTTCTAAGGAAAGACAGCCTGCTTTGAATGCTGCCCTTCTACACTCAAGAGGTGGCAATGAACAGACCTACCACAGTTAGGAGAGCACACATGGCTTTCTGATTCCAGCAGTCCAGTTGATAAGGAGATGAAACATTTGTGGTTTCAGCATATGTAATGTCCATTCCTGGTCTCCTTCGCATGCATTCCTACATTTAGTTTGGTTAGTCCTCTCTAATTTCTATCATTCTACCAAAACACTTTTGTTAAAGCAACAAGTCTGATCTGATGTAAGGCAGATTTTACCTTAATCATTAGCTGGACCAGCGAAGACAAATGACTCCAGGTCGAATTAAGATAATAGAAGCCTCACCTTAGTATTACCCACTACTCTATACTGCACCTCCACATGACATATGACAGCTTTTCATATGCAGAGAAGATAGTCATTAAAGTTTCACAACAAATAAATGTTAACAGGTTACTCCCATTGATAAACAGCTTAGTTTTCAAGCTACCTCATCATGCCTTTGACTCCTGTATGGACATACGCAGAATTTATTTATTTATTTTTTTTTTAAATCAATAGATTCAGCATGCATAAAGAAATAACTGTTTCTACAATTATAAAGATACTTAAAAGATATTGACTTTAAACACAGATGTACAGTTTCTGTGGAATTCACATATGGTGCATGTGGTTATCTGCTCATCTATTTATTGAAGCTTTTTTTTTTTTTGTCTTTCTGTGTCTTCTTTTAAAAATCTTGCAGTCATTTGTGAAAGATTATATGATCTCTATCACAAGACTTCTCCTAGGACTTGATACAACACCAGGATCTGGGTTTCTTTGTTCAGTAAGTTCTAAAAAAGTATCTTTACTATTATTACAAAGCAACAGAAAATGTTCCATATGGTCTGCAAAACACCTCTATCTTTGTAGAAGAGTTTCGTTTTTGTTGAATACCAAGAAAAGCCATCTGTTTCCTTTTTCAGGAGGGGGGAAAAGAACTGCAGGAAATTAGGTAGAAAACATGAATAGTTTAAAGTTACTCAAAAAAAAGCATAGAACCACCACCAAATTAACCAATCCACCCCATCACAAAAAACAAAATACATACTCTGAAGCATAAAGAAACACAGGAAATAGCAAGAAAAATGTAAGTTTGTTTGTTATTATTTTAATAGATGTATACAGCAGTTCAGTAACCAATTTTACTAACCAAACACAAGGGCTGCTCCAGAACTAACATCTCCTATTTATTATTTTGCTCATGGTGTCAGAGGCAGACACTGGTGGTATGGCAGCAGAGGTTGAACCTTCCCACCAACATTCCATTACATTTTGTTACTATGGAACAGATGGCAACAGAGTGGCAGTCAGACAAAATGACACCTGACATGGAAGTGCATTTAAAGCAAAGGTGTGCCACTGAATTCCTTCATGTGAAAATATGGCACCTACTGAATTTCATTTAGGCTTGCTGAAAATCTAGACATCACATTGTATGTCAACTCAGTGAGTGGTTCATTTCAGCAGTGGTGAACACGAATCATAAACCACGTTCTGGACATGCTGAGTTTTACAAGCACAGCACATAGGCTCTTGCTCGTTATTGCTGAAAACGCATAGCTAATAGCTGTGATTGTATTGAAGAAATGGTGTTTTGTAGCTGAGAATTTACTCTATCAAATAATGTTATTATGCTCTTTGTACCTATTTTAGTTCCCGTGGAAATAAGTAGGAGGTACTACTTTTAGAACAACCTATATTTATCAAAAACAAGAAACTCTTCCTGTATAGTACATCCTGACTAGTATTTATTCCTAATGCTATTTTACAACTGTTTCCAATCATAGGTAATGAAGGACAAAATTTAGTTTTATATAAATAAGCACCAATACGCATACCTAAACTGAAGTTATTTGGTGTATTTCAGTGCAGTTCAAAAGTCAATATCCTCATGCAGTTAAAAATATTATAAGTGGGTTACTCTATTCAACTTCATTTTCCCTCATACCCACCAACAACAGTAGCAAAGATACAAGTCAAAGTTGAGTCATTTGCCAGTTGTTTTGTAGTGAAGTATAAAGCATTATAGATTGTTGCTCTCAAAAATGAAGTTTGCTCTAATTGCTCTAATTAACGTTAATTGGAAAAAGTTTGTTTTAAAGAAAACCACTGCAGAATTTGTAGGTCAATCATTAACTTAGTTACAGTAAATGCCAATTAGCTGCATCTCTGACAAGATACTTGTGCAACTTGAAATAAAGCTTATGTAAGCTGTCAGTTATTTGAAATGAATTTAAGAATTCATTCTTACATATTAACGTTTATCATATTGCCTTCTTTCCTTCTCCCAAATACTCCACATGCAGCATAAAGCACAGTTACCAGGATGCATTCAAAATACGTGTTCAAAATATTTTTCTTCAGTCTATCACCGGTTTCTTACTACTGCTAATACTTAGTTCATCCTTTTACATTTTACTCATATATATGAACATCATGTGAAGGAAATTTTTGAGCAACTTCAAAATAAAGACAGGTCATTCCATCAGACTGAACCATTTGCACTGCAGCGTCTCCCAAATAGAGAGCAAGGGAACAGGGTCTACAAACTCTAGAAATTTCAGGTTTATTGTGGATGAAAGGTACAATGCTACAATATGATCATTACCAGCTAGCACCTGGTTCCAAAAAATTTTCAAGAGTGGTATGATGAACAAGAAGTAAACCCTCACGAGTTTAAGTTTTCTTCCTATTATTATTTGTTCAGATGAAAATCACAGAAGAGGATTTATGGATTAGGACATATGCCAGACTATATCAGAAACTTTGTTCTTCTACAGGAGACATTCCAATTGGAGTCTACAGGACAGAATCCCAAAAGCTTACAACGTCTGAAGTATGTCAGTTTACTATACTCTTGGGATTTGGTTACCTCTTATTTAAAGAATATTGGGGATGCCATGTCTGCAAATGCACTTAATTCCAACCCACTGAAGGTCACCATCTGCTGATGCATATACAGTCAGATTAACACTCGGCCCAGTCTACATACAGATTTTCATTCTTTTGCTCATCTACAAAGAAGTGGCTGACTGAAGGAATAGCTCAAGCACAGGTAGGACAGGCTCTGAGAGTTAGCTCTAGTCTGACCTTGCATGTAGTGGCAACTAACAGCATTATCAATAAGCTGTATGACCAGTGCAGGAAACCTCTAAGATTATTTTCAACACTGATAAGCAGAATATTGCTTTCATATTTTATTCTAATGGGAAAAGAAAGAAATTTAGAAACTCAGCAGCATTTCAGATAAGTTTGCTTTACTTTGAGCATATTATTAACTCATTCTGTTCTTAGGGATTCCATTAAGCGAGCAGCCACCATTTTCAAGTCATCTTTATTTTATGCTTTAATAAAAAAAAAAAAAGGACAAGGAAACAGCAATAAACCACCAATACTTAACACATCAAAATCAGTCACAGAACCAGAAGAACAGCTTGAGGTGGAAGGATCCTTAAGTTTACACAAATCCAAGCCCCTGCCATGGGCAGGGTTGCCACTCACCGGATGAGGATGCCCAGGTCCCCAGCCAATCTGGACTTGAACGTCTCCAGTGATGATGCATTTTTTTCCTTAACTGTCTTGCTAAAAAAGCAGCATAACTGTAACCCAAAGGTAGAAACTTCAGAGTACCTTACTTGGAAAATGTGCCCTGAATCACACTGGTAACAGGCGCCTTTTGCCTTTTATCTTAAGAGAGCACTCAGAGCAGTGCAGTGGATGTTGAATTACTTCCTAATGAATTTGAAATATATATGATATATATGTGAAATATATATGAATATATATATATATTAGTTTAGATAGCTTCAAGTTACATAACTTGAATTTCTAAAAATAGGATGTTCAACTACACCACCGAAAACATTTTACTCCACTTCTACTCTTTAATGCCCTTATTCTCTTATCACTTTCCTTTCAAGTCTCAAATCTCTATCAACGTAGAAGAATGGGAAGACACTAAGGACACCAGGGAACAGGTTAACTATCGTAGTAATCATCGTAACTCAACATCTAGTGATCAGTCCGATCACCCCTTGTTACGACGAAAAAGCATGCAGTGGGCTCGACGGCTGAGCCGAAGAGTACCGAGACACTCTGGTAAAACAGCTGAGAGAATAAGCCAGCAGCGAATGAACCTTTACAGGAGGTCAGAAAGACAGGAACTTGCTGAGCTTGTGAAAAACAGAATGAAACATCTGGGCCTGTCTCCAGCAGGATACGGTACGCAATACTTAATGAAAATACTAGCATCATGGAAAAAAAGCCTCATCTTAATGGATGCCATGAACTAAAGTGACCACAGTTACTTACAAATCTTCATGTATGGGAATAATCCTAAAGCCAATTTTACACCTTCAGCTTTCTTTACACTGATAACATACCTCTGAGACCTCCAATTCTAAATTCAATTAACTGTGAATTCACTTAATCCAATTGAGGCATAACACTTGTTTGGTCACCTGTTTCACAGGGGCATGATGGTGCTAATGCACTGGTGAATGCATTTGTATAACTTGCTAAAATACTTAGTACTGTAATAATTGTTAAAATTGGTTTTACTATACAGAATTAAATTGCACTGGTAAAAGATCACTTCAGCTTTGTAATTGCACCTGGATTCAGAGTCAATTATTCTCTAGACAGAAGTACTTACAATGGTGCAAAATATGTGATACAGGAACAGAGGAAAGTTGCACATAGTAGAAAACAGTCATTTTTAACCTGCAGAACACACTCCAAACAGTTCATTACTAAGATTTAGGAATTGCACTGAAACTAGAACTGGGCTATTCCGCATTATTTAATTTTCACTTAAAAAGAAGAAGTATGTACAAAATGTTTATTCATTTTAGACCTATTAGTCTCACTGTGACACCCTAAGAAAAGTGTTCAAAGTAAACTACAGAAAAGATAATGTCAGTGATAGCTACAGTTAGGCTGAGACTTTACTTAGCGAAACTTTCCAAAAAAAGAAATACCGATTGTGTTTTCTCTGTCTTCCACATTCTGACCCACTGGCACAGGTGAAAAAAGGAAACACTTCATATCAACTAAATTTAGAAATGGATGAGAATTTCATACGCCTGCATTTAAGCTTGGCTACTTCCCACTTGCTAACATAAGCCATGTAACACATTGGTTGAAGTAAAACTGAGTTGTATTGAGAATTGCTGTAACTGGAAAGAAGTGCAAAAGAATATATTTCAGAAAGAAAGCATGTTTGGAGAGTGGAAAACTCAAAAGTCGATACATCAGATAGTTAGAACTATTTGGTATTACCTTGGCACCTGATATATTTTATTTGTCAACTCTGAGTCAAAAAAGATAAACTTTCAAAATTAGGTTGTTACAAATTATACTTTTGATGATATGTTTTTAAACCTAATTTGGTACATTTATCTTTGTCCTCTAGATGAAATGAATGATCATCAGAACAACCTTTCTTACATCCTGATCAATCCTTCTCCAGATACAAGATTAGAGCTGAATGATATAGTGTAAGTTAAAGAAAAAAAGTCACAAGAAGTGTAAAGTTTCTTCTCTCATATTTCTGCTCAGGCAATGGGGACACATTGCCATGCACCTGAAAAATGGATGGAAAAGATGGAGACTTCTATCTAAATAGACATGTAATGGTACTTATATGTATACATAAACATGTATTTAATTCTTTATGTATGATGGTGTAAAATACATATTTTTTGATATCTGCTTAACTCCATTTTCTCTTATCTTGGTCTGCATATGTATAAAAACTAACCAAGTTCACTGGATATCTTCACAGAATTAATAACCTTGCTTATAATCAAGCTACCCAGTTTTAACAGGAAGATCAACCTTTTGAATCAGTGCTTTCAAATGGGATTTTGCAGTGGTCTTTGAATCCATGATACAGCAGAAAAAAACATCTCATACAATATTTGCGCTTAAGATTATTTGAACACAAATAGCAGGACCTAAATGCAGAAATTCCCCTACTCACAAATTCCAGAGAAATTAAAAATCATATTAGATAATATTCAGCTTTGAACTACCATATAAGGAATCTGTAAATGCTGAGACAGTTTAACTGCACTCAACACAGCATTTGCAGCAGTTAGAATTTCAAGTAGTTCTTTCTCAAGAGGAGGGGTTCATCTTGAGTGTATCGGCGTATATCAAATGTATCAACATCATGCTTTTTATTTGTTGAGCGTAGTTAGAAGTGTGTCCCTAGCCTTCACACAAAAATTTTATAATTTACTCCAATTTACTTTTGCCCCTTCTTCAAAGCATAATGAATAAAGCAAATGCATAAATACAGAGAGTTATTGGCAAACTTTTGTGTTCGGTGACCATAGTGGATGCTCAGGAAAACAGCTGATGCATCCAAAGGTCAAATGGGCTCTCAGACAAAATTAAGGTTTAACTGTTTCTAGTACATACAGATGATGCCTAGGTAGACACAGTGTGAAACTACTATCTAATGTGAGTGGACTTGCCAACTTGTCCAAGTTAACCAACAGAAACTGGATTAAGTCTAACTCTTCCTCAGAACTTCCCAACAACATTATAATAGTATGTTTACTAATCCTTGCTTGTGCCAAGTCTGTTTAATGAGAATTGTAATTTCTTTTGTAGATACTTGATCCGACCTGATCCATTGGCTTATGTTCCAAACACAGCATCCATCCGAAAAGACAGCTTCTGCAATACAGTGGGACAAGATACCAGAGAGGAAACACAACTTTGATATGCAATTCAACAAAATTAACAGTTTTATACACATAGTTTCCTCCAATCATTTTGAAAACTAAGTGGTACATTTTATTCAGTTTTTGGAAACAAAGTGACAGTAGGTAAGTCACTTATTTTAGAAACACGGTCTCTAGAAACTCTTACGAGTTTCCTCATGATTGTCAAGCTTGTAGCCTGTTCAACATTGTAGTTGAACTTCAGTTTAGCAGAAAACTGTTATGATTTAACCAATATGAAGAAATGATTAAAGAAGAGACTCCAAAATGTTTCACTTAGAAGCTTCTAAGTATATCTATCAAGGTGGCAGCATGTCTGCAAATAAGTTCCCGACATAAATCATAAAAGATTATCTGATGTCCATCAAGGGATCATGTATGCGTAGCAGAAAATAAGTTAATATTTAAAGTTATCAAAGAGGATGTTTGTGCCAAGAATACAACCTCTGAGATAATTTTCAAGCTTAACTTGTCACCCATTTATATTTGAACAGCCTTGTTTTACTCCCATTATGGCCTCTAGGACTTGAATGTTTGCTCTGTGAGTTTACAGATGACACAGCTTAGTCATGCTGTAGAGATTGACCTGAGGCACATCTACTGAAAAATTAGCTCAGAGAAGCTCAGAGAATCTCACAGAGGCATTTCAAGAAGGAACAATTCATAGAGCAAGCAAAGCAGAACTTTTAAAGGAATTATATAAAAGCAGTCCTTTACATTTGCAAAAATCTGGTAAGAATATGTGAAGCTACAAACAGCTGTAGCTCAGATGAAGAATGAATCATTTAACATGAGTTTTCAGTCACAGAATGGCTTGGTTGAAATGGAACTTAATTATCATCAAGTTCCAATCTACCTGCCATGAGGAGGGTTGCCATCCACTAAATCAAGTTGGTAGCAAGAAGACTCAATGGATGATGCCAAAGGCAAGTGTCTCTCCAGGGAGCAACTAAAACCACAGATTGTTCCCACTCCCACGGCGATACCAGAACTCCCAACTGTTCAAACTACAAGCATACCCCATTCATATTACCCAAATACGATACTTGTTCATATGAAACTACATATCATAATGAAAATGAGAAAAGCTTGTAATCTATTCCACAAAATGAATGGAGCACTACATGAAATGGATTTGAAGGGTTTGGCATTCAATACGCAAGAAAGCATCTACAGTGTATGAAGCATCTGAAGCTGCTACAGAATCTCCAGTCTACATATACAAGAATCCCAGAAGTTTTGGTCAAGAATTTACAGAAGTAAACATAGTTGTACACAATCTTCAAAACATTCTTGCTTTGCCATTGATCATGAAAGGGGAGGAAGGTCCTTAAGGTTCAAACCATCCTGCTACAACAATCAATACAGGACTGTTACAAAAAAATTGACATGTGGACTGAAGTTGCAGAACCGATAATTCTTTGAATTCCCTTGATGTTCTCTGTGTACAGAGAAATCCAGTCTAAAAACATTTTTTTATTATTTGGAAAAAAAGCATAGCTGATATTGTTCTGAAAAATAAAATGCCAAGCTGCCTGAAGAACAAGCAAGTATGCTTATCAGTACTGCAAGTACGTAAAAAATCACATCACACTCCTGTTAGGAATAACACAAGGTCTGCTATTATTTCTTCTCTTCCTCTTAATTTTTCCAAAACTAAACTGTAAGGAATTAGAGGTCTTAGAGCAAACCAAAGCAATCAGATGTTTCAAAGCAATTGAAACAATTGCTCATACCATCTCTTAGACAGAATCTTGTCCAGATTGCATCACAGAAACTATCACATAGAAATAATTGTTTGTAAAATGAATAGCCTTCTATTTTTAATACCTTCAGAGAGAAGACTATGCCAGTTGTATATTTCCAAGCAAGAGAAGTGTTTTATAAAATGTTCACTCCAAAATATTAGAACAATTCTGTGTTTCATACTGAAGGTCTTTCTAACACAGCCTCAAGTAGGCAAACAGAATTTCAGAAACATGCCTAGTATCCACAACCAGCAAGCTACTCTGCTTTTCACACAGTATATCCCGGAGTCATCCAAACCAGACATTATCTGTACATTGCCTGATGTAACCGCAACAGATTTAAAGACTCTCTGCCATAAGAATAGTTAGGGCTCCATGCCTGGCATTTACCATCCTATAAACAAGTAGAAATAAGTAGTTAGGCATATTCATTTTTCTACCCAACTCAGTGGAACAGTAGCATCTATTGTCACTTGATATTTCCTAGACTTGATGGATTTTTAATTGCTCAATAGCCCTAGAGACAGGTAGAGACAACTTGCAGCATGTCTAAAATAAAGCAAAGATAATTTTTCTGAATATAAATGCTTGGTTCTTTTCAAATTCTACTGGAAGATGAGCAAGGTAAAAGCTAGCAGCTTCTTTTGAGACAAGTCTAATAACACATTGATGATGCACTGCTCTATCCCGTAATTCAAGATGTGCCACCTTTCATGCTGGAAGCAGAACAGCTTTGCTTCCCCAGGCACATCTTCAGACCCCATTCTAGTGGGATTTAAGCCTTTCAAGAACCATACCGAGTACTCTACATTACACTGAATGAGATAGCACACATATTCCTTGATGGCCATGAAGGCAGTTCTTTGAGGATCACTTTACAGGCAATCTTGTGTTCACATATTTCTTGCTAAGATTATCAGCAATATAATACAGCTGGACTGGAGATCAAGTTGAGAAAAAGTAATATCCATGCTCAATGCTAGAGGAGGGATGACAAAGCTTCAGAGTCATTGGGTCCAGAAGACTTGAACAGAGTTGTGTCTGATGACAGTTCACTCAGTGAATACAGAGATTAAACTTACGATCATTTACAAAAGCAAGTGACTAAATTCTGAACCAACTGTCAGAAGCCAGATGGCCAAATAACATCTTTTCCCCACTCAATCAAAGAAAACAGCAGATTTCAGTCTGTATTTAACTGTATGTACTTTTTTTCTTCTCTTTGTAACTCATATTAATAGCAAACCAGACATGCTCTCTTTACCAAACGCTTCCTTGAACAACTACGAGGAAACCTGGAAGTCAAAGGGACGAAACATGTTATTTATTCTACAATAAAAAGTCACAATAGGTATTACCGTGGAATACACTGTGTTTCCTTTACTGTTCCACTCCAGTTCCAGAACACGCACTAACAAAACTTGAGTTCTCAAAATCTGTAATAGTGTGAGTTAATGAAGTTTTCATTTTAATTTCCAAGTCAAACTGTTACAATATAGTTCCTTCAACCATAGCTTCCTACCTTTGTAGCAAATTGTGTACTTCAAAGTATTTAAGTTACTGAAGACTTCTTATACATCTGTTTACTACCGCACCAACAAAATGCAAAATAAATAGTTTTTGGGTTTCAGCTATGGAGGAAAAATTAAGTAACAGCAAATGCACCCAAAACAACACAATTCTGTAGTTTCTAGGCAGTAAATGCTGAAAACAAGTATTTTGTAAATTTGAAGCACTGATGTATGAGGTTTTGATGAGCTGAAATCTACTTGATATCTGAAGGAAATCAGTCATTACAATCCCAAAACAAATTAATAAAAACAAGCAGTACTACATAATAACATCAAGTACACAAGATTATTTAGAAATCTATTTTCGAACTAGAGGCATAAATGCAGATATCTGCTTAAAATATTATGCATATTCTTCATATGATGCACTAGGAAACAGACATACATTGAATATATGTCTAAAGGACTGCACTTCAACTTTCTTACCTCTATTTCTTTTGCTTGATGTAGAACATACATTAAAGGGAGAGCAGAGAAGTAATGAACACTATGAAAGATCACTAAGACCTTGCTGATCATCATCTTTAGAGGTTGCAAAAAATATTAATGAACTATACAAGAAAATCATTATTGTCTATACTAGTGATGCGATGATGCTGTCAAATAACGGATGTTGAACACAAGTATGAACTCCCAGAGACTCAAGAAACTTAATGAGGAAAATGCTTCTGCTCTACAAAGTAAAAAACAAGAATTTGATGTTTTTACAAACTAGTTTTCAATTTATTATGTAAAATTTGGATACTTGCTAGCACTGTAAAGTAGGATAAATTTCTCTGAAGTTTTTTTCTCCTCAGATCAAAAAAACAAAGAGTGAGGGATATTTATTCTCACTCCCTTCTTTTCCTTAGAGGCTGACTTAACAACTGTCAGATACTCAATGGAGAAACATAAAGCAATTGCCATTCTCCTTGTCAAAAAGAAAAGCTGACTTTCTCCTAATCTGCTCTTCCTTATCTAACTACCAAAAAAATAAAGAAAATATGTTGAAAGGAATTAGAATGTATCCTGAGGAGAGTCTTGTCTACCCAGAAGTTTTGTCACCACTTAGGTGAACTCCACAATGCAAAGCAACATAACCTGAGGCCTTCCATCCCACAAGAATACTATCTTCTTTAAAATAAGGTACTGTTTAATGCATTTTCTCAACAAGATAATCTAGGAAGTGTTAAGTGTATAACATTTATGTCAGCTTGTTCAATTTTCAGACTTCCATTAGCTACAGTATACTCAAGGACATTAACTCAAGTATTTTTAATATCAGCTATCAAGGAACAAAGAATAGGAGCTACAGCAAAATTCTCAGCAAACAGGATAAAATAGAGGACAGAGTAGAGACGTGCCAGTCCTCAGAAAGCCCCAATAAAAACTTAGATGATGTAAGAAACCACCATAACCACAAACTAAGACAATAAATTCAAAGAGATCTCTGATATTTATAGATACCTATAAAAATAATAGAGAATGTAGACGTTAACCCCAAAGCAAGATACTTAGTAACAGAAACACAGTAGAATATGGAATTGATTTTAGCTACGCTTGTTATTTCACTGTTTCAAGTACAGCTATGGTTTCCATACACATAAGAATCAGCAGTTAAATTATTGATCCAGCTGGTTTGCATAGATTGAAGTTCGTTTATTTTAGTTAAGTTCATTTTATAGTTTTAATATACATTAAATCACAGCTGTGATTAAAGTAATCTAATACAACTCTCAGTGCTATAATTGCTATCTCCTACATCTGTAGGCACACTTGAAGCTCAGTGTCCTGTTGTGGGACAGCAAAACAGTAAGGGTATCTTTAGCATTTTTTTCGTACTCATTTTTTTCCCTAACTAGGTGGGAAATCCACTGCCAATGAAAAGACATTTTTCTAGAAAACAACTGAACCATGAGATGCTTTATTGCAACAACTTTTCCCCAGAGCCAATGTAATTACTCAGTTATTGGACAGACTGCTGTTCTCTAGGTAGATGCTTTAATCAAGAACACATACTGCTTATTCTTCAGTATTTATACTAGTCTGTCTTTGAAGCATTCAAAAAAATCATTATTAAACCTTCATTTCTGCAAAACAAAGCTTAGTAAAAACAATCTGGACATAGCTTTGTTATTAAGTGGAGGCAAAAGTAATACATTCATGTTAGGTGTACTAAGTCCTGGGATGTACAGAGGTAGAAAATGAGCTCCACTCTGAGCCAGTCATTTTTACAAAATTACATGAGCCTAAAGCATCAACTAGACTACTAGGAAGTAGAAATTCTCATTGCCAAAATGAAAAAAAGTAGTTAAGTCCAGTCTTTCCTCTAGATTAACAAGCACAGAGATTTTTCTACTCCGTACCTGACTCTTGAATGGAAAGTAGAAGAGACCTATGATTATCTCTCAAATGCATTTAGACTAAGAAGAAAAGTAACAGATTCACAACAGGAGCTAGTTGCAGAACATTAGTCTTCAGAAGAAAATCTTCTGGTGTACACACAAGCAAGACACCACTTACTAACACAAGAGAATTTCCACAGATGCATTTTGAACGTTCACAAATGACTTTGGCCTTGCCTCACTCACAATGTGCCCCTTCCTTCAAGGACAAGCTGTAGCTTTCTAAAAAAAAAAAAAAAAAAAAAAAAAAAAAAAAAAAAAAAAAAAAAA